ACACATTATCCCATCTTCTCCACTGGATAGACTGATGGGTTCAAAATGATGACTTTTTGCAAGTAAAGTGTTTTAGTCACTGTGCCACCAGGGTACCCCTCTCACAACTTGTTTTATTGTTAATTTCCACTCTGACTCAGAGCTGCCCTGTATAGGGTTTCTGAGAAGCAGCTGGTGAGCTTGAACCGCCAACCTTGAGGTTGTAACTGAATTTGCAGTCCAGCACATTAACCCACAGTGCCACATCAGGACTCTTTACTCACAACTAGCAGATCAAATTAGTTACAAGACAGTACTCGGGCACAAGGAAGCCAGGACAAGCCAAACTCTCTTGGACCCAGAGGGCATACAAAGGGAAGTAACTGTTGAACAGCATGGATACCTACTGTAAGCGATAAAGAAACAAATTATGAAAATAGCTGTGATGTATGCTGTGAAGGGGGAAAAAACCCCAAAGCTATCTGGTAGGAGTAGTGAGGGGGGCTATTTAAAGTGGGTAGGTAGGCTGAGAACCTCTTTGAAGAGCTAGTATTTGCATTGAGGCATCAAAGGGGGGGAAGAGGGAACAGAATTAGAGGAAGAACATTCCAGGCAGAGGAAATCAGCATAAAGGTCCTATGGGGAATGAGCTTGGTTTTTCCTGAAAATGACACAAGACTAGATTTCTGGGAGCCCAAGAAGCAACTGACCAGAGGAAGGGAGTGTCATCAGAAGGGAGACTGTTGATGTCAGGTCACAGAGAGCCCTGAAGGCCACAGCAAGTTATTAGGATTTTATCCTCAATGCAATAGGAAGTCACTGAAAGGTTTTAAGACAAGAAGTACAGGTCTTGAACAGGGTTTCAAACAGCTTTGAACCATTCAATTATGTCCAGCAAAGTGAAATGAGAAACAACCAGAATTTTCAAATTGGGGGTGAAGCATAAAGACAACCGGAATAGGAAAAATCATGGTCGAAATCCTGTAACAGGAGCGTAATTCAGGAGATTGGATTAAACCAGAATTGTGGAGAGTGATAGACATTCAAAGCTGTCAGGTCAGCCACCATCTTTGAGCAGGACACCGCTGTTTCTGATTGGATTGCTGAGCACACACATACACTGTCTTGTTTTCTAAGAGAGACATTAAGTTTCTAACAGGTGGCCACCCTCTCCTTTTCCTCATTCCAGTTATCATTCTGGTTAATCCCATTTTGCAAACTCAGGTCCATTCAGGTTTCACTTCTTTGGCCATGACTGGGCCAGGAAAAACTGATTTGAAGCTCTGGTTCTGATCGGTGTTTTATAAAGGTAACTGTGGCTATGTGGGTAATGACTTGGAGCAGACAAAAGCTAAGCGTGGTTTGTACTAGGGTAGGAAGGGCCAGTCATAAAGATGACAAGAAGTATACACATTTAAGATATATTTTGAAGGACTTCCAGTTTATACTCAATGACTAACCACAGAAGAAAAAACCTGGTGATCGGCTTTTATTAAGACTCCAGGCAAGCAACCCCCATGGAGTAGTTCTTCTTGGTAACACTTTGAGAATCAACCCCAAGGCGAACTACACCACCAACCAATAGATTGGATACAAGAGAAAACTGGGGCAAACAAAGAGTGTTTTTTGACTTGCAGGGTTCTGTTGTTACTGACAGAGTGGTCTGTGGCACCATTTATAAAGTTCAGTGACCTCTGAGGGGACAGCTCAGTCTAGATTCCAGGGCTAGCAGAAGACTAACTCCTACTTTGGATATGTTAAGATTGAGACATCTGAATAGATAAAAAGTCAAATATAGGAGTGAATCGCATAGAAGTCTGGGTGAGAACTATAAATCAAGAGCTGTCAGTGGGATGGGGGTGTGAACAAGAGAAGACATGCCCTTCCATTGCCAAGTCAATTCTGACTCATCTAGAAGACAGAGTAGACCCGCTCCATAGGGTTTCTGAGACTGTAACTCTTTATGGGAGCAGAGAGCCTTATCTGTTTCCTGCACAGTGGCTATTTGGTTTGAACCACTGACCTTGCAGTTAGCAGTCCAACACTTAACCCATTGTGCCACCTGGCCTTCTTGAAAAAAGATGGAGACTCCAGAATTTGCACAGAAAATTCCTCCTTGAGACTTGTTTCAGGAACTGTATCATCTTTGAGTATGTGAATTTGTATTTCTAGTTGTCAGTAATTAAAATGAACAGTGTTAAAAACAAAGAAGTCACTTTGAGGGCCCAGGGGCACCTGACCCAAGCCATGATATTTTTAATCACCTCATATCCATGTGAAAGCTGGACAATGAGTTAGGAAGGGCAAAGAAGAGTTGATGCTTTTGAATTATGGCGTTGGTGAAAACTCCTGAATCTATCACAGACTGCCAGAAAAACAAAAATAAATCTGTGTTGGAAACAGTACAGCCAGAGTGCTCCTTTGAAGCAAGTATAGCCAGACTGTATGTCACGTACTCTGGACGGGCCATCAGGAGGAGACAGTCCCTGGCTTGGTAAAGGAGAGGGTCAGCAAAAAAGAGGAGAGCCCTCACAGAGATAGACTCTCACCGGTTGCCGCAGTGGACTCGAATATAAGAAGGATTGTGTTGATGGTGGACGACTGGGCAGTGCTTCACTCTGCTGTGCACATGGTCATTACGAGTCAGGACAGCCTCAACGGCACCCAACAACCACAACAACAATCTAGATGAGGCTCTCTGCTCTGCTCCCGCAAAGATTAAAAGACTTGGAAACCCCCTATGAGTCAGAACCGACTCCACTTAACAACATTTAATCCACTTAACAAGGAGCTCTGGTAGCGTAGTGGTTATGAATCGGGCTGTGAACTTCAAGGTTGATAGTTCGAAACTACCAGCTGTTCCGTGGGAGAAAGCCGAGGCTTTCTGCTCCCGTAAAGATTTACAACCTCGGGAACCCTGTACAGGCTCACTATGAGTCGAAACAACAATCTACTTAACTCCATTTAACAACAACAATCTAGTTAGCTGTTAAGTTTGGAGGGTTTTCTTTTGATTGGAAACATTTCTCTGTTTTAAATGATACCAAGGGAAGTGTTTACAGTCACTGAATACATTACTATGCCGATTTTACACATGTGGGAAAACTAAGCAGAGAAATTTAGTAACTTTCTCCAGATGAAAAAAATCAGCAAGCACAAGACTGTATTCAAAACAAGTAGTCTGGTTCCAGAGTGTGTTCTTCAGCCATACACTAGATTACAGTGGTAATAAAGGAGCTTTCCCACTGTCATTGAGTTGATCCCGACTCTTCAGCCAAAAAAGGTGTAGTCAACCTGTATGCTGAGCAAATAATCCAAGAAGCTGGGTTCTATGAAGGAAAATGTGGCATCAGGATTGGAGGAAGACTCATTAACTACCTGCGATATGCATATGATACAACCTTGCTTGCTGAAAGTGAAGAAAACTTAAAATACTTACTGATGAAGATCAAAGACCACAGCCTTTGTTATGGATTGCATGTCAATGTAAAGAAAACAAAAATCCTCACTACTGGACCAATAAACAACATTCCTATCAACAGAGAAAAGATTGCCATTGTCAAGGACTTTATTCTTCTATGGTGTTGGTGGAGAATACTGAAAGTGCCATGGGTTGCCAAAACAACAAAGAGATCTGTGTTAGAGGAAGTGCAGCCAGAGTGCTCCTTGGAGGCCAGGATGCCCAAACTTCTCTCATCCTTAGGACATATTGTCAGGAGGGACCAGTAGCTGGAGAAGGCTATTATGTTTGGTAAGGTGGAAGGGACAGAGAAAAAGAGGAAGACCCGCAGCGAGATGGATTGGCAAAGTGGCTACATCAATGGGCTCAAGCATGGCAACAATTGTGAGGTTGGCCCAGGACCAGGCAGTGTTTCGTTCTGTTGTGCATAGGGTCGCTATGAGTCGGTACCCAATCGATGGCACCTAACAACAACAACAAGTGCCGTCGAGTTGGTTTCGACCCATAGCGACCCTGAACAGGGTTTCCGAGGCTATAAATCTTTACGGGAGCAGAAAGCCTCCTCTTTCTCCTACGGAGCAGCTGGTAGTTTCAAACTGCTGACCTTTCGTTTTGCAGCCCGATTCGTAACCACTACGCTACCAGAGCTCCTTAACAACAACAACAACAACAACATAGCCACCTTATAAAGGGTTTCTGAAACTGTAAATCTTTTGGGGAGCAAACAACCTCATCATCTTTCTCTCTAGGAGTGGCTGGTTGGTTTGGAATCCAATGCCTAACTCACAGTGCCACCAGGGTTTCTTTTGGTTTGTTTAGTGGGTCATTTGTAGATACAACAGTCCCAGTAGGAGTTTTTATTGGATTCCTCTGTGTGTGCATGTCTGGATCATTAGAGTTGCAAGTCATGAGCCACCTGGTGTCTGTACCTTAAGTCCTAAGGAGACTAGAACCAGCTTGACAAGAAAGGCCCTGGGAAGAATGAAGGAGAGGAGGAAGGTAGGAGGGGTAGGAATGAAGGAGGAAGGAGGCAGAATTCAAATCAAGCATTCCTGCACTGATAAGAGTGAACACGATGTCCTTCCTCCATGGTTGTATCAAAAGTTTTCCCCATTTATGGTGGGACCCAAAGGCCTAACCCAAAAAAAACACTAAGTGTAAGCTCTGCCCTTGCTTCCCGCCTTTCCTCCCTTGAACCCCGCCCACTCAGGATCCCAGCCTCTCCCACTGCCCCATTCCTCCCAACTCGCCCGGCCACCGCGCCTGTGCACAAGGGGCGGAAGAGGAAGTTAGGGGCGGGCCCTAAGTGGGAGTGAACCGGAAGTGTAAGGGCTCCTGCTGTTCCTCGGCCAGGCGGAACCTGCTTTGCTGGGCCCGGCGGCTGCAAAAGAACTTTTCTTTCTCCCGCCCCAACGGTCGCCGCGGCCAAGTGCCTCGCCTGCCCGCCCGGCCGCGATCCCGCCTCCGCGTCTCTCCCGGTCCGGCTCCGCGCGGCCCTGTTGCTTCTCGCCAGCGGTCTCCGCTTGTCTCTGCCCGGCCCGCCGGCCTGCCCGCTGCAGCGATGTGCGACAAGGAGTTCATGTGGGCCTTGAAGAACGGAGACCTGGATGAGGTGAAAGACTACGTGGCGAAGGTGAGCGGGGGCGAGGCCGAGAGAGCAGTGGGGGCGGACGGGGGATCGGGGGCGCGGAGTGGGCCCGGCCGATAGACCCCGAAATCGGGGCCCGAGACCCCAGCAGCGCGCTGGGCCCTGTTCCCTCGCGGGGGCGTCCCGAGTCCCAATGGGCTAAGTTTGGCCCTCCTGTGCGCCAGCATCGCGCCCAGCCCGCTGGAATGAGGCAGTTCTCCATCTTGCACCCCCAGCCCCGAGGACCACGGGCCGTATTCTTTTCACTGTGGGCCTGGTGTGAATTTCACGTCTGACCGAGTAAGAGAGTTCTGAAACTTGGTCTCACTTCATTGTGGGGTGGCAGCTTGGGTGTGGCCCTTTTCCTCTCCCCGCCACCGCGGGGACACGTTTGCTCGGCCGGGGAGGTGGCACCTGGGAGCGGGCGAGATCGCCGAGCAGTTCCTAAAGTGGTGCGTTGGCTTCAGTTGAGCCATCTTCCTCCTCCCATCGGAAATGCCTCCAGCTACCCTTAGGGTGATGGATGTGGTTTGGTGTTGGGGGGGGGGGGTGTTGTTAGGTGCCACTCACATAGACCCCGTGCAGAACAGAGCTGCCCGGTCCAGGGACAGCCTCACAATCTTCGTTACGCTTGAGCCCGTTGTTGGCAGCCACCATTTCGTTGGGGGGCTTCCGATTTTTTGCTGACCCTACACTTTACTAAGTGTGATGTCCTTCTCCAGGGACTGGTCCCTCCGGACAACATGTCTTACTATGTGAGGGGGTAAGTCGCGGCATACATTAAAAGCCTGAACCCAGACTTCCAAACTGAATCCACATCCTAAACACGCCTTGGTGGCCTGCCGATGGACCCTTTTGTCATTATGGATTGTATTACGTGATTTTTAGTAGGGGGATGGTCCAAAGAGACATCTTCTGAAAGTGAAGTTCACTTTTATGGAAGAACCCTGGAAGGTCGTTTGGATGGTCATTCTTCCAAAGAGGTCGCCATTCATTCATACGGCCAGCAATCCAGGAAGCTCATGGGATTGCGCAAGGCACTCTGTCTAATGCCATTACAACTCAGAGTACGTGTGTGCCTGTTACCTGACAGGTCATGAGTTAGAGTGGACAGTCAGGACAAACTGCCTTCTGTTCCCCTGCCTTCTCAGCTAGGGAAACCTGACTTGTGCAGTGTAGGGTTAAGGGGTGAGATTATGGGGACCACTTCAGTCGGTGGCACACTTGCTGGTGGTGGGACACATCAGTACTCTGGAAGTGGGTGGGTTTTGCTCTACTTAAAATGCAGCGTTGATAAGTAAGTACTAACAACTTACAGCTACAAAAATAACACAATTTGCATAGTGTCTTCCTGATAAATTATTTTTTGTCACCCTTACATCAGTCTGGGGAGGGAAGTCCTATCAGCTTCCTTTTAGAGATAGAAGTACTTGGAGAGTCCCGAGTTACAGAGGTAATGCGGTAACTGCAGAGCTGCAGTATTGTCTCCAGAACTGAGACTCCCAGCCTACTGCGTGTGCTCTCTAACTGTCTCCAGTTTCCTTGTGAAAAGAAAGCACATAGCACTAACTGTTCCAGAAAGACACTCCCAAGAAGCACGTGTAGGCCAAGAAATTAGGAACAAAGTCTTCACATAAGATCATTTGTAAACAATGTTGTTGTTGTTCAGTGCCATGGAGTCGGTTCCTACCCATAGTGAACCTGTACAGGGCTTCCAAAGAGCGGCTGGTGAGCTTGAACTGCCAACCTTACAGTTCAAACCAACTTTACAGTCCAGCACATTGACCCATGGCACCACATCAGAACTCCTTATAAACAATGGTGGTGGTGGTTATGTGCCGAGGAGTCGGTACCGACTCATCGCGGCCCTGTACAGAGTTCCCGAGGTTGTAAATCCATACGGGAGCAGAAAGCCTCATCTTTCTCCCACGGAACAGCTGGTAGTTTCGAACTGCTGACCTTGCAGTTCACAGCCTGATTCATAATCACTACGCTACATAAACAATATGTGCCTAAAAAGATGGAATCATTTCTGTCAGCTTCAGATGGTTTTTAAATTGAGCAAAGGAAGGCTTGAGAACAGGTTTATCCTAAAAGTTTGACAATGGTCCTCTGATCAGGCCATTGAGCTTTTTTCTTTCTTAGTTTTGAGTCTCTGAAAATAGCTTTTACTCTGTGCATGAAAAGTAACCCAAAAACAAAATCAGAGAAACCATTCTCTCCAGTTTTGACTAAGTTCTTCTCGTCCTGCTGCACCCACCAATTGGTGCTTCCTGAGTGGCCGTCCTTCCGGTGGTCCTGTGGCCCAGCTGGTCTTCACCAATCCCTGAGCTCTGATTGTTGTCTGTGTCATGTAGTGTGACCCATCTATCGGTCTGTACTCAGAAAATACACGGAGACACATTTGAAACAATTTTCCTTGTAAGGGGATAGAGTCTTTGAATTTTAATACCTTGAAGATCTCTCACCTGGTTAATTGGAAGGGCTAGCTTCAAAAAGTTCGTGGAAATTTTCCATTATCTTTCATTTTTTCCAGGAACGTTTTGAAGTCTCCGTGTAGGTAAGACTGGACCTGTATATAAGGCATTTCAGTCAGTATCGCCCCTTACCCCGTTTGTTGTTGTTGTTTTTGGTTTTTTTTTAGTATCTTCCCTTTTTAAAATGAATCTTTGAACAGTGTGTCATTGTGCAGTTTCACTCAGCTTCAGCTGTGTGAAGTATGGCCAGGCATTCGTTGTATGGGGATGAGTTCTAGAACTCTGAAAAGTCAACTCAGAGTTGTCAGGTGCTATGTTTCTAAATGGAAATGAAGAAACTTCTCCAGTGCTCCATAGGGTGTCTGAGACAGGTGTTCGAGCCTTCAGGACTGCATCTTGACCTCTTGATGAGCTAAAGACTACCTTTCGTCGCTGCATCCTCCTTGTCTGCTGGGCACCTCGCAGGGCTTGAGCATCTGGAGGCAGCCAGCCTATCCTGGTGTGGTGCTGTAGAGTAAGCACTGAACTGCGAACTATAAGGTGGGGGTTCAGACACACCAGGTGCTCCTTGGGAACCCTATAGAGGGGTGCTGTGAGTCAGCTGACTCGATGGCACATCACAGCAACAATGCTTCGCTGAATGGTACTGTTTTCACCTTGCCTTCCATTCTGCCTTTTCTATGGATTTCCTCCACTGGAGTTGGCTCTGGCCTCCCCCGAGCTCCAGGCTACCTTTGCTCAGACAAATTTCAAATGATTTTCCCCTCAAGGATCAGTGGTGGCGCAGTGTTTAAGCACTTGGCTGCTGACCGAAAGGTTGACAATTGAAGCCCACTAACCACTTCACAGGAGAAAGACGTGGTCGTGGATATGGGGCAGGTCTACTCGGCCTTGTAGAGGGTCTCTGGGAGTCCGAATCGACTCGCTGGCAGTGGCTTTGGCCTTGTGGTTATTTTCCTCTCAGACCCTTGCTCTTCCTGTTGTCTTCATTTTGCCTGATGACATCATGGCTCAACCATGTGCTTTAATTTAACTAGGGAATTGGCCTAGATTGCCGAGTACGATTATCTCCCTCTCCGGGCCATTCCTTAGCCTCGGTGTCCCTCACTGCGCCTTTAGAGTCCATAGGTGCTGGTTCCTGCATGGACAGGGTTTCCCCTTGCTGGACAACTTACACTGCTTAGCTGAGGGATCTCCCCATAATGTCTGTGTATCTGAGCGTGAACCACAAAAACCCCAAAACCCACTACCACTCAGTCAGCTCTGATTCACAGCGGCACATCCTCTCTTGTTGCCCTTAAAATACTCTTGCGATTCTGCTTATTTTAAAGGAGCTCTGGTAGTGTAGTGGTTACAAGTCGGGCTGCCAACCTCAAGGTCAGCAGTTCAAAACTACCAGCGGTTCCACAAAAGAAAGATGAGGTGTTCTGCTCCTGTAAAGACTTATAGCCTCAGAAACCCTGTGCAGGGTCACTATGAGGTGGAACCGACTCCACGGTACTTAACAACAACAACAGTGTTTCCTGGGCTGGTGCTGTAGGATAAGCACTGGACTGCCATCCACAGGGTCAGCAGTTTATGCAGGGTTGCTTGGATCAGAACCGACTCCAGGGTACTTAACAGCAGCTGCTGCTGACCTGACCCATCGGGCTTGGTAAACTCACCTGGCCCCAGGCCCCCTGCTCCAGGCCCACCGGGCTTCTTAGGAGCTCTTTCCACATACTGTGTCATCGTCCTTGACCAAGTCTGCAGGCCTCTGTCCTTCAGCAGGCCCCTAAGTTTGCATGCCGCCTCTTCCAGAAAGCCTCTCTGGATGAACTTCCATGGCAATGTGTGTATTTAGCAGAGTGCTGTGCTGTGATTTGCATGTCTGTCATTCTTGAGGCTCCTGAGTCTTATTTGGGGGGTGGGGTTGCTAGATATTCTTTCTCATTTTGGTGCCTCCACTATAAAAACTAAGAAGAGAGAATTTGCCGTAGAGTTCCTGGGATCTTGGGGTCTATTGTTGATCACCGTGGATGGGCCCTGGCATCTCATGCCTTAACGGCATGAATTCTCTTACAATACTTTCTCCCAGAGTGAGTTTCAATAAAACCCACTGTCATGGAGTGGATTCCAGCTCAATGTCCCTGTAGAACAGAGTCCCTTAGGGTCTCTGATGGGAACTCTTTACAGGAGCAGACCTTACTCCCTCGGAAAGGTTGGTGGGTTCGAACTGCTGACCTTGCAGTTAGCAGCCCAACACCTAACTCACAGTACCACCAGGGCTCCTTAAGTTTCAACGTGTTGTTGTTGTTGTTGTTGTTGTTGTTGTTGTTGGTACTGTTGAATTTGTTCTGACTCACACCAACACTATATAGGGTTTTCAAGGCATGACTAGTGAGTTTGAACCACTGATCTTGTGGTTGGCAGTCCAGTCTTATCCTACAACGCTGCTCAATGTTATTATCCTATTGTTCCATCTGTAGGTTAAGGAATACAGCATGGAGAAGTGAAGTGATTTGACAAAGTCAGTGGTATAGCGGCCTG